AGTTAGCATTAACTTTGACAGCCCTAAAATGTAGTTTTTCCATTCAAATATTTTGCAGAAATCCTAACACCCTCTTGTGGCCCCCCCTTGGGTATCCCCATACCCCAGAATGAAACCCATGTCAAGTAGAAAATGGCAACAAAAACTGACATGCTACTCATTTAATTAGGTTCAAGAAAAGAGAGAGAAAAATAAATATTGGGAAAAGACCGAACATCAGATAATGGGCTAATTGGCTAATGGTCCGTTTACCGCTCTGGAGAGATCTTTTTCACAACCATGGCCTGGTAGGTGATGGCTCTCTTGTCTTTGATTCCTGCGTAGGTGAAATCAGACGGAAGCACTCCGAGTACAGCAGCCATATAGCTGATGGCCTCCAAAGTCTCCAAGTTCTCCTTTCTCAGTGTGAAAGCTGAGGGGAAAATAACTTTTACATCTTACATTCAAGTCTTACATTTTAGGCAGGTTTCCATAGACTATCAGCTTTACATGATGAAATGAAATGTCTTCTCTGCTCACCTGTGTATAATATCACCTCCTCTTGACAATCTGCTGTTGTTCTCTTTTTGGGTTGTTTGCTTCTCTCTCTTAGTCTCACTGTAATGGACGTCTTCTGCTGGTCTGTGAAGCTCTTGGTTTCCACAAGCTTTCCAAACCGCCTGCTAACAAAATGGTGAATTGAAGTTCGGTGCTCCTTGCTATCATCTGGCAGGAAGGTGAACACACAACCAGGTACTTTGGCATCGATGAACCTGAAGAACTCCTCAGCTTCTCCCTCAGAGACTAAACTTGCAAGCTCCTTGAAGTCTGGGTCCTCTCTGACCTGAATTTCTGATTGGTTGGTCACAGTCTGGAGGAAGGGGAAGTTGTATCGTACTGCTCTATGCACAACAGCTCTCAGGTGTTTATCAGGATAAGTACCCAATGACAGTTCCACCTTTTCTTGCTCACTAGCTCTTACTCTCACTTTGTTAGTGAAATGTTCCAACTCTTTGTTCACAGCTGGACCCAAGATTATATTCAGATCAAAGCAATCCTGATTTAAAATGTCAATGTCATCTGGTTTAGATTGCTTTAATTTATCATCACTTTTGGGAGCTTGACTTGGTCGAGAAGGACTTTTTGTATGTTCTTCTTGAACATTAGAACTGTTAACAAGTTGTCCATTGATGTCTATCTCAATAACCACAAAGTCTTGGGGTGAGTTTTTTATGGTTCCATGGAAACCTTCATGGTCTGATATAAAGCAGGAGAGACTGTGCCTCTCCATTCTTAAGTCCTTAAGAACATACACTTGGCAATTAAGTCACGCAATCATTTTCTTATTTTAGCGATTTGTTAATTTGTATAGACATGTAATGTAAAAATATAATAAAATGTAAAGAGGAATTTATCGTGTTAACATTTATTACACAAAAACAACTGAATCACTGTTACAAAGCTGGTCCATTTAACCCTGTTACGTCATAATACAAAGCAAGGAAAATGCACATTTTGGAAAACAGTGCTTACACTCACCCGCTACTGTTGTCAGTTCACTTCCTCCGCAGCACGTGGTACCGCTCTTAAAGGCGCAGAAGCCGCAGAAGAAGGTATGTTGTCATAAAATCGTAATGAGAAACAAACACTAAAAGGCATGTAAGGGGGCTATTGAATGAGTTTGTGTGTGTGTGTGTGTATACACAGACATATAGATAGTTATATAGATTCCTGTAAAAAAAAATATATATATATATATATACATATACACACACATATATATATATATATATTATGATAATTACAGAACCCAAAGGCTAAAGAAAACAGACGACTCCAAATTTAAAGGTATATTCAAATCTTTTTATTTTTCTCTCTCCTCTATCAATGCATAGAAAAAGACATTTAAGACTCAATGATTCCTTTCCAGACTTCATAACACCCTTACATAGGAGACATGTTAATAGTGGTTTGCCTGTTATGAATCAGTAGATGGATTGTCCCAGAGGTTCAGGAACTTACAGTCCCTTCCCTTATGAGTGGTTTCAAAAACATCCCAAGCAAGATGCTAAGTGAACTTAACTCCATGCACTGTATACATTAGTGTGGTTGCGAATGGCATGAAATGGAGGCTGGCCATTAGTTGAGATGTAAAACATTAGTTGTGAGACAGACAGGATGGCCCTAACCCTGAAACCATGGACACTCACTTCAATATGTTAGACAATGACATCATCTGGACAAACAGCTGTACGGGCTTAGAAAAATAGTATCTCTGCAGGTTGTCTTCATTACAAGAACATGAAAAATAGCAAAGATGAAGAGAAGCATCACTTTTTCAGATTTGTGTTATGACGGATTTGATTATAATCCTATCAATAATTAAACAATCCTACATTTAATAAAAAACGACCAATTTTTAAGAATTAATACATATTAAAAAAAGTATCGGAACTTTTTTAGTACATTATTCTTGGCAAATTCTTCATTGAAATCATCCCTACCCTATAGCTACAAGTTTCAGTGGCTGTCAGAATACTGATAATTTATTTAGTCACTCTTTAAGAAAATTTGTCAACCTAATCAATCAGAAAGTTAATAAATAATGTGTATGGCCTCATAAAATAGAGCTGAACTTCTGACCTTCCTGATCAGACAACCACAAAAGTTAAGCCGTGGACTGTTTAACTTTCCGGGCTTGTTTTCCAAACATAAATTATGCCTAATCTCCAAGGCCAATTTCCCGGACCAATATTAACGTTACTCCGAAGCTAAAATGTAATTTTACTGGAGAGCTACCACTGAAAATGCAATTTATACCTGAACTAGATTTGACATCTGTTTATGGGAAACCATCGTTTTCTCAAAAATATTCTTCAAAAAGGTTTTTCCTTGAAAATCAATATCTATTTCTGGAAAACAAGCACTAAATGGTGTCTATTTCAACAGTATTGCACTCTGTATCATAATCTTGGCTAATATGCAAGTAAACAGCGTAATAGTGTTAAAACTATTACCAGGAACATCACAGACAGCATACTTGAATGGAAGTGAAGCTTAGTAAAATACATTCTTGTGTACCTCAGTCTGTGTTCTTCAACATATAGAAAATATTGCAATATCTGACAATTATCATATTGCAAGCTACAAAATGTAATTTCACAGGCTTAGTGTTTTACTTTGTGCATAGTTCAGTCTATAGGGCTGTGGTCTACATGAGTCAAGGTAAAAATGGGAATTCGCTTTGAGGACAGGATTCCTTAGACTAAGTGGAATGTACCACTGTCAGATTCAGAACAGGAAGAGGTTTAATCATCATCGCTGTCGTCCCCTGGTGCCCGTGTGATTCTGCGGCCCCCCCTTTTCCCGGTTGGCCCCTTAGGTTTGGCAAAAGCTTGCTTGTGTGCATGCTGCTTGGGGTGAACCTCTTCGTACAGGAAGTCACTGGTTAGTTCATCACCATTGTCAATTTCCAACTGAAAGGAAGAATTAAAGTTTGAAAACTACAACATTAACGTTACTGTAAATGGTCCGATATCCTTGAAATGAGGCATGCTTCCAGGAAAACAGGATGGTGTATGCTGTACTTAATAATACAGTGAGAAGGGTTATATAGGTAAGCAAATATATAATACCTTTTTAGCAATTTCAATGCCTAAGTTTTTCTCCACTGTGTCTACGAGAGGGTTCTTGCAGCTTGAATACAGCATTCTCTCTTTGACGCTGCATTTATAACCAGGCATAGAGTAGATGAACACTGCAAACACAAAAAAAGCACTCTTGAAACTATTGACATATGGGATAAAACATGTCCAAGTCCAACAATATGACTTTCCATTAGCTTTTTTGTAATTTGTAAAATTTGTAAATTTCGACCTTGAAAGTAATCAGAGATGATGACCGTATTTATTAATATACATTTAATGATTTAATACCCCTAAATTGTCTTCTGACCCGCAAAACTCAATACGTGATTTAGGTTCAAAATAAAGTACAAAAAAAAAAGGAAAATAGAATATAAATGGTAACTTTAAAAATAAATATTTTAAATATATAAATACATACATATAAATATATATTTTATTCAGCAAGGGTGCACTGAATTGATCAAAAGTGACCGTAAATATAATTTTATAAAATATTTATTTTTCAAATAAATGCTGTTCATTTGAACTTTCTACTCAAACAATTCTGAAAAATATAGTGTTTCCACAAAAATATGCAGCACAACTGTATACATATTAAAAAATATTTCTTGAGCAGAATGATTTCTGAAGGATCATGTGACTGAAGACTGGATTAATGGCTGCTGAAAACTCAGCTTTGCCATCACAGGAATAAGTTATTTAAATATATTAAAACAGAAAGCAGATATTTTAAATCGTAATATAATCATTGTTTTTAACCTTGTTTTTGATCAAATAAATGCAGCCTTGGTGAGCATAAAAGACTTGAAAAACATTATGTATACACACACGTTTACATACACATACATACATCGTATATAATGTTCAATAACATATTTAAGGGTTTACATTTAAACCCATTTCTTTGAACATTTGATATTCCTCTTACCTGTGGACTCAAGGTAGTCTCCTTCATGAGAATGTTTGTAGAGGAAAAAGTGATACCTAGCTGCATCATTTGGGATCCTTTTAGGCAAATCTTTCACCTCTGTGGGAGACGTGCTGGACAACTTGATGGATTCTTTAGGAAAATCTATTTCCTGTTAATGGGATGGACATAATTAGTGTATTTGAATTATTACTCAGGTCTACAACATCTATTTCCGTCACATGTTGGTGATTCTGTGGGCAGGGGTCAACCCAACCAGTCTGTCTTCTAACAAGTAAAAATACCATTCTGGCCATTATTCATTTTAGGTTTTTTTAATGCAATATACAGGATGTTACAGGATGAAAAGGAGGAATAAGATGCGATTGTACAGAGCTGCTGAGAGTGGTGGAGGGGGAAAAAGTCCTGAAGTACCAGTTGAACGTAGTTAATCCTTTTCTCCCTAAACTGCTCCAGAGCCTGAATAGCGTCTCTCTGCATAGGGAACGCCACTCCTTGAAGAGTCTGCTGCTTTGTGTCAACATGGATGTCTGTCTGCAACTGAAAACATGCATATAATCCTTTAATAATATGTATGCACTGGCCTGTATCACCAAAGCAGTCACAGTGGTTGTTAAATGATTTGTTAGGAACGAGCTCTGCAATTTATGTTGTAATTTATAAAGCAACATTGTGAATCAATTCATGTTCAAATGTGAAGATAAAATCTTCCCAACCCTAAACGTTTGAATGGTACACTTAAAATATAATATAAAAAATGACACATTCTGTGCTGCATCCAAATAAACCTCTCTGCATCCTTTCATCCAGGATTGGGCCCAGCATTTTATCCACCCATCTACTCAATAAAATCTCTCTTTCAACAAATTAATAAAAATAAAACACCACAAAGCTGCTTTCCTCTCCTCTCATACATGTAGATTAGTGTAGCATTATCCTTCTTCCACAGCTGCTCTGGGGGGAGTTCAGTGAGCCTTTTGATTGGTTCATTTATGCTGCCTGTCATTTTAAACAGCCGACGATGCGTTTAAGAGTCAGAGCGTATCCTTTTATGGTATGGGGGAGGTTTGTATGCATTGCCAAGAGCATCCTTTGCAATTGGTGAGAGTGCCTGGGACTGAGCTTCTCTATTTTTAGTCAGCGTATGTTTGATGCTAAATATTACATTACATTTATGTTTTCATGTTAATATACAGTAAGCATTGACATATGCATGGTGATTTGGAATATCATTTATAGTTTATAGTACTTACTTTATAGTATAGCATACTGCTCAGCAAACAACCAATCATCAACACAGTACTCTTTAGTTCACAATGCAAAACTGGCTTCTAAAGAGCAAGGATCTATCATTTTGTTTTGAGATAATGTTGCACATAATGTAAACGGTCTTTTGGTTCAGCTCATGAAGTTACTGAATACAAAAGGCCTGATATGAACTGTTGGACTGATGTGGTTTTCGCCCTATTTTAATAAAACCTCAGCAGAGCCTGACTAAGGTGTACACCCATGCTGTGTTTATGTTGATGTCAGCATTACCTCAGTGAGTTTGATTTGCCTCAGTTCCTCCTCTGCTGCAGTCAAAGGCAGAGGCGCCGCCTGGGAGCTGAGGTACTTTTTATAGCCATTTAGAGAGACATCATCCTGAGCAGAAAGAGATGCATTAGTGGGGAAACCTATGGCTGTGATCCATTCATGTGGAGGTTTGATTTAAAGAATGGCAGATTATATATGTCATACCTTCACTGTGCCAAAAATCTCCTCTTTAATGTGGCCACCACCAAACTCTTTCTTCAGCGTGGCCCTTGTAGCAGCATACAACATCTTTTGTCGAACCTGAAAGTTGTTTCAAAATAAGTTTCTGGATCTGCATGTTTTTACAAAACATTTTTTCTTTTTAGGAACAAGAACATACATCAGATAAATTTGTTTTAGGCCAACATACTTTTAAAATAAAAAAAAGACATTATCAATAACCATGCAAACATATATATTTACATATGTATTCTCATA